ATATATATATATATATATATATATACTATTAAAAAAATAGATTGGATCTAGATCGGATCCATATTGGATCTACCTACACCCAGATCCGATCAAAATTTCAATTCAGATATGACTTTTAGGACTTGATCTGGACTTTGGATCCAAATTTTAGGTCCACACCCAAATGGTCCAAAATCCAGGTTTTTAAGCCATATTGGTCAATTCTCACCCGTAATTGGAAATACGTCAGACAAATTTTAGAAGTCCACCTACTTCTACTGTATAAGGGGCGCACCCCATACAAACCTCATCCTTAACTTAACTGCATGTATCATGTGATCCACATGGTTGGTGAAACCAAGGACCACGATCATCACCATCCCAACGATGAGTTGGACCGTGATGGCGACGACTGGGTTTCATTGTACAAATCATTAAGAGATGCATGATGTTCTTATTTCTCCATCACTGTAGAAGCCATTTATTGGACGACGGTGGTAGACAACATGGTTTATAGCTACACCATGGATCATATAATGTTCGGAAATTTACATCGCATTCTCAACTCGTGACCCTCTTAACGAAAGCAACCTCCTCAACTTTGTAATAAGAACCCTAACATGGGGATTTGCCTCTTTATTCACCAAATTATCTGGTTTTGGTGTATTAGTATTTATTTCCAAAGGAAAACTTATGAGAAAATCTTTTTTCTTTTTATTATAAAATTAAAAAATATTTTTGTATATTTTATATTTTACATTCGAGTTCAACTTTTGAGAGTGTGTCTTGTGATTTAACATTTATACGTAAGATTGAGCTCTAAGTTTGGGGAATTTATCTCACATAAAAATTACAAAAAAAAAATTTGAAAATAAATAAAATAATCATGATACACCTACAAATTCTTCTTTTAAGTGCATTATGGTGATATGTATGAATGCCTAAAATTTAAATTTAATTAAATAACATCATCGTTATCTGAACTTTATTCCAATTATTTGGAGTTGGCTACACGAGTCATATTTGCCATTCTACTCTATCAAGGATCACACCTCCAGTCGGACCATAAATCACCATATCTCTTCCAACTACGTCCATCCATGTTTTTTTGGGCTTTTCTCTTGCCATTTTAGAGCCTTATACTTGAGCTACTTCGCTCCTAACCGATGTTATATGCGATCTATGCTATACATAACCAACCCACCTAATTAAAATACAATATTTATTATAATTGTAGAAATGTACATTATATAGAACCATTGTATATAACCATTTTTCAATTTTGAAAATAAATAGAAAATTTTATGTTCAATGCCAAAATCTTGCTTAAGTGCCTAAATCTTTCTCCTCTCCCTCTCCTCACCAATAGGTGAACTTTTGGGATTGTTTACTAGTACGAAGTTTTGGTGCTAGAAGCTAGAACTTCCCATGGGCCCTTCCAAATGAAAGGCTGAATTTCCCATCGAATGTGAAAGGGGTACTTCTCATGGGAAGATCGGCCAAAACTCCTTTTTTTTTTCTTTTTTTTTTGTCGACGCAAGGCAAAAATTTGAGGGTGAGTCTCCCTTATTTGGGTGCATGTAAAAAAAAAACATTCTAAAAAATACCCCTAATATTTTAGGGTTATTTGGTTGTTTATTTTTTTGCTTTATTTTTAATATATTTTTCATAGATGCGTGTAGGTGAGAAGTATTGATAACGAAAATATTATCTCAATCCGATATATAAAACGAAAAAAATAATCCAAATACTCTACATGCTCTCAAAACTAAAATACTCCCAAATCTGGAAACTTCTAAGTTCATCGAATATAGATTTCCATAGTCTATTACAATTCCAAAACAAGTTATCAAACACTGGTTTCCATAATATTGAGATCTATTTTCACAATCGATTTCAAACACAATATTGAGATCTATTCTCACACCTTCTAGGCTCCAGAACTTCCCAATTTTCCACCTTTCAAATGTTAAAG